CCACATCCCTTGCGAACTAATATGCATATTGGTGTGCAGCACATGTCTTCTTTCACATCAACGTTGGTGATTGGATTGTTCTTTTTCGTCTCCATAGAATATCTATTGCTTCAGAGGCGTGTTCACATCGACTGTTCAGGCTTCTATCGTTAAAATTATCCACCATCGCGACGAGCTTCTTGTTAACACAAGGAATAATAATACAACTTGTCCCTTTCATGTAAGTACGTTCCGATAGTCTTGACTTTTCGTTCTTCAGTCTCCAATCTCCAGAACCTCACTGCTTTCCAGAATAATCTAACCAGTCCGGCCACATCTCCGACTCCATTTCCACCCTACGGCTCGTCTCCATCATGCTGCGGAGCCTCGAGAAGTTCACTTTGGCTTCCAGGTTGAACTTCCATTCCTCGTCGCACCAAAGTTCTTTGACCGTGAACTGAAAAGCCTTATCTCTGGTTACGAACTTTTTCTTGTAGACGACCTCCGGCTGTCCATCAAATTTCCGCAGGATATCAATCATCTTGTTGCCAGGGTCATTGCCATGGAATGACGTGGCCATCAGCAATTGATACAATGCGTCCTTCCTATACACCATGTCAAGGGCAAATACCCACTCGCCTGATACTTTCCCTCCTTTCACAACTTTGAAGGGTACGCAGTTGACGTTATAGTCCCACAAGAACACCTGTTTTTGATTCCGCTTCTTAAACGCGAACCAAGGATTTTCATAAAACATCGCCGCAAGATCTTCCTCTTTCGGGGTGGCGAACGACGGTTCGTCCAGATTTGGCTCGTCGTCTTCTATGTTTCGTTTCCCCGGCGAAGGCGTATTGGGGGCACAACTGGAGCTACGGCGTCGTCTTTCAGATGTCTTGGGTGCTACGGGAGTTGGCTCCGAATTATCTGAAAAAGCCTCTCTGATTATGGTAAGGAGCTCTGAGTCTCCTGAATCATCGTCGTAGCTAACAGGACCGTTTAGCTTTCTTCTGGTATGCAGGCTGTCGGAGGTCTTCTCACCTGAAGGGAGTCTCCGTGTTGAGGTTGTCGAACTCATCTAACTCAGCGGGTTTTGCTGCAGAGTTAGAACGTAAGTTCTCAGAGGTAGCCCTGGACTGGTCCGTGTTTCCTTGCGAGGGCCCCTTCTTTTGCTCATTGTTCGCCCTGTCAAGGATGTTACTTGGCCCTTTCTTTCAATTTTTAACAGGGCGCACTCTGGTTTGTACTTCGGATCATTAATGCCCGGTGTTTTGCTCCGCATCGCCTCTAGAATGTCTGCAAAGGTACTTCGAGGCCTACGACCCATAATGGTTCAGCGCATTCTTTTGATGATGTCGGTGGCTCACTTTGGTTCCTTGACATATACATTCACGAATTGATAGGGCGATCGAGCTCTTTCACCAATAATAGGCGGGTCTGCCACACGCGACGCTCGATGCTCAAGGATGGGGTCGGAGCGACACAAATCCCTGTCACGAATGTTATAGGCCTGCAAGCTGAATCCCACGACCAGAGGACGTACTCTATTTTGGCAATCCTCTTCTTCGTCGCCTGTGTCATAGGGTTCGGATCTTCCCACTGGGGTGCCACAATTCTCTGAAATTTATGTTCCTGCTTCCTGCCTCTACAAGGAGGGTTAAGCACTACTTGGGAGTTGGCGCTACTTCACGCACAAATGAAAATCGAGGAGATTCAACGATGTCGCCACTACTGAATCTGGGGCAACGGGGAGTATTCCTTGTGTAATAAGTTTCACGGCCGATTGGGCGCAGATAAATTTCATTTCATATCTGCTTCTCTGTGAGCGCAATCAAACGTCATATGTGAAGTTGAGTACTTACTCCTTACTAGATTGTATGGCCGTTGTCCTGCAAACACCTTCCAAGTATTCCAAGTGATCGTTCATTTCGTCAAAAGTGCTCAGGGCTCGTCGCTTCTTGTCCATTCTTTCGACTTCCCTGGTCCACCAATCCTCGAATTCCTGTCTACTCCCGAAGGTCCAGGATAGACGCCTTCTGCCTGCATCGATGTCGCCGGAATCGTCTTCCTGAGAGTGAGAACTTTGTATTATCGAGAGAAAGTGATGCAAGGCATGCGAAATAGTGATACAGGCATTCCAATTCCTACTATTTCCAGGTCGACCATCCATGATTCCGTGTGTGCAAGGATAACAGATGGCGGATTGATAACGGCGCCTAAGCCCGCTGTCCCTTTATGCGTTTCGGCATGTGCCACGCTTGGCGCCTATTCACTGCTACGTCATAGCCACACTGAATTCTTGTTCATCCTGAAAATAGACAAGCGTCTGGCCTGCTATTACACGACCGGCACGTCTACAAGTCTGCCCCCGCGGAGCTTTTAGTGGACGGTGATGCAGGAATCAAGATTTTCTCCCATACCGCTGTTCGCACTTGAAGACGACGAGTCAAGATTGGTGTATTTGTAAGGATTTAATGTGTGTGCCTCGCACGCTTGGGTAGCAGTTGTTTACCGATGCGCTAACCAGTCATGGCAGGAGTTGACTCGTCGCTAAATCTTATCTTGAAGGCACGATCGTCTCGATCATTTTGAACTGTTCGACACGAAGTGCCAAACCTTACCCTAGATCTGCCTAGATCGAAGCAAATTGGTGCGTCATGTCGGATATTAAAGGTCCTGCTATTTGAAGATATCTTAGTGCGTTATCTGATTGGTCTAACATCAAGGCCCATGATTGTCAGGCTAAGAAGAACTCGAACGCAAATGTCAATTACATCCACAAGGTTTCAGCTCCTTTCTCCATCCTCAAACTCTGACGCAACATGCTCTTCAGCTCATCGAACGTCACTTTACGCTCTAACCCGAATTTCCACTCCTCTTCGATGTAAACGTCGACAACCTTGTAATGGATATCACCCTTCTTCGCGACTATCACCCGTTTATGGATAGAACTTGGGCGGCGAAGGAGCGTTTGCACGAGGTCCTCAGCCATTTGGTTGTCTGTTGGACGACATGACTGCAATAACTGTCGCATCTGCTCCTTTGTATACGTCAAGTTGACCACGAAGGACCAGGCGTCGCCCTTTATGCCTCCTCGAACCACCCTAAAGGGTACCTCACAGTTTCCTCTGCGCAGCAAAAAGTATTGCGTTGGGTTGATATATTTCGTTGTGATAGCGAAGAAGGGATCTTGTTCGAATCTTTCGACGAGGCCGAGACTTTTCTCTGCGGCGTCATTACTAGTTGAATAGTATGAAGGGGGGCTGGGTGACAAACGACTCGAAAGTGGAGAACGATTTGAGGCGTCGCTATATGTTCCTAATGAGTGAGTCTGGGGCTCGGGAGGATCACTATGATTGTTGATGTTCCTCGTAAAGGCTGATGCTCCTGAAGTAGGCATATCCTCCTCGCCGCCATCGTCTTCTTCCCTAACGCGAAAATCAGGCGCTGGTACCCTCGAGATCGCTGACATCTGTACGAACCTTAGCAAAGGCTCTTTGTCTGATAGGGTGGCATCGTCGAAATGGAAGGCACTTGTACTAGTAGGATCATCTGAAGTATTGGAATCTGCGTCCGATGAATTCTTGTCGTTATATGACCCGGGCGATCTTCAAATTGCGCTTAATGCAATATGCAATAATCACGATACATGTGACGTACTGGGAGTCTCCCTCGAATAGATTCTGTTTAGACGGCAGCTTCTTCTTCTCAGAGTTCGCTTGAGCCGAGTGTTGCTCTTCGGAACCGGGGTCGCCGATAATGGTGTCATATCTCTCCTGTTTTCGTTGACTCGTAGCGTTTTCGCTCGGTGGATGGAGTGCACGGGTTCTGTTCTGGGCGTTAGTTCCTTTTGTTAGCAATGACGAAAATAATGGTGCGTACTCGAGCTCTTCCAGCCGGCTATGCAGTTTCTCACAACCAATACCACCCATATCAGACTCTGACCCTAAGAGGTACCGAGGCTCAAGTAGCCTTGTGTATTCATACATATTATACATGTCCTGGTTGATTTGATTTCTACAAGGAAAGGAGTTTACGCAACGCATCGCTCCAGTGGAGTCTGGAACTCACAGATAGAATTCAAAATAATCGAGGGCCCGCCACTGCAATGGCTTTGAGATCGTGGGGAATATGCCTCTGATAATTGTCTTAATGGCAGATCGAGCACTGATAGGTGTCAGCATGTAACTAGGCGCGTAAGCCAGGAGTACCGCAGGGATAAGTACTGGGGCTTACTCTTCGAATGTTTTCAGTGCCTTATTACACAGATTATCCATCTTCATCAAATACTCGTCCATTTCGCGGAACGACTGCAATTTTTTCCTATCTTCGGTGAATTGGTCAACGATCTGGCACCACCTATTCTCGAACTTTTCCATATTTCCGAAAACCAGCACCTTTATTTCATCTTCGCTTTCGCTTGCGAGATGGTTGTTCTCCTTCAGGAACTGCTGAAGATACTCCGCCTGAGGGATACATAAGACCGAAGCAAAGTGGTAGAGCGCTTTGCCTAATCGGCATGCGACTTTTTCATCATAGTCACTACAGTTCATGGTTGTGAGGTGTTGAGCCATGTCAAAGCGGCTTCTGAAGCGTGAAAATTTGCTTGCTACCAATCTACCATGCGGTTGGCATGAGGTAGAATAGTAAACATTCGTTCCATACAAACATAGCAAGAGGAAACGTAAAATGAATTGTTCCCTCTTAGCTCAGTGGTAGAGCGTGTCACTCGTATATTTAGTTGCGATGACAAGGTCAGTCGTTCAATCCGGCTAGCGGGAATGGCCTCAGACCCTGGCTCTTTTTATTTCATCCGATTCCTCCCCTCACCGCTGCCAAGGTCCCAGTACCTTCCCAATGCCATGGCTCATTTTCAGTGGAGCAGTGGGCAGAATACTGTCATAGTATTGGTCGGATTGGGTGACGACTGGCTATAGACTATCTTAGTATCTATGGCTCTTACTTCAAGGTAATAATCTGGAATTGCATGGGCACGTAGCATATAAATCTGAGCAGGTCCGTAATCCTCCTTAGCTCAGTTGGTAGAGCGCGTCACTTGTAATGACGAGGTCAGTTGTTCAAGTCGGCTAGGGGGAATGAGAAACTGTGTCAATTCCCCCTTTTTGTAATTTGAAAAGACGTCTTTGACGATTCCGACTTCGTCCCCGTACGGCGTACGCAGTAGTTCTGTAGATACCACAGGGCTCACATACGCTTTACCTACAACTAATTAGTCCGAGTTATTGTTAATCCGTCACAACGTTATATCTTCAGTCGATCAGTTTGGAAGCTACGTTCGAATTGACCGGTGGAAGCCGTGACAGCGGACAGCGTACATTGGTATCTGGTATTGTTACAGGAATGCGATTGAAACGAAGAGAGTCCAATGGTCCAAGAAAAGTCCGAGTCCTGCCTTTATGGTCCCTGTACCATGTCTACCTCCAAGATTCCCCTATCCCTCAACATGCCCATGCCCCTTCTCACTGCGGCCAAGCACTCCCTCTCCAATGGGTCCCTCATGGACCGCTTCATATCCCTGACAGGTATCTCAAACCTGACCTTCCTCTTCACCACCATCATCGCTTCCTCTAGTCGCCTCCACTCATCCCGAGGACAATCTATAATAGCTTTAGGGTGCGATCGCAAATTAAAAGTGACAGTCTCCATGCGGGACGTGTCGCGAGAGTATCGCTGGAAAAACAACTCCGTCAATCCAGATAGCACCGTGTGGTTGGCCACACGGTCGGAAAAGAAGTTGGAAAAGTAACATGTGATGTTGGGTACATGGGAGATGTCCAAACCGTTCGTTGCTATAATGGCCAGAATTCAGTTTAGTTCAACGCGAGTGTATAGGTGGTGACGTACATGACGAGAAGCCGTGAAACACGACTTCATCTAGCGCATCACCGGCAGCTTCGAGAAGACGCTGGAGATGGTCACTCTGATCTCCATGATCGGACCATACTTGGAGCCTTCGGAGGGAGCTGAGGTCCAGTGGAGAGTGAGGGTGGGTGAGGGTGTCAATGAGAACGACCGGCACGTTCTGTATGCGTAGATACCGGAGCTTCGGTCGTTGGGACAGCTGCTCGTCGTTGATGGGAGTATTGTGCTCGCGGTCCGGATGCGCCTGAAGGCTGAGCTGGTCGCTGATGTAGACATTCATCAGTCGTAACTCTTCCAGATCACAGCTGTTGCTGAACAGCTGGAGGAAATCGGAGGGTCGTAGGAAAGATGTATAGTTTAAGGCAAGAGATTTGAGGCGGGGTAGGGAGAAGCTTTGACACAATGAAGTACGGATGTCGCTTGAGCCGTCCCACCTCCGGTCGTAATGTCGTCCTGAGATAGTCATCTTTCTCAGGTTGGAAAGGGAGCCAAGTATCTGTGGCACGACAGTCTGGTCCTGTGTGAACCAACTGTTTTTCCCCCAAGTAAAGTTGTAGACGGTGAAGTTCCTGACGAGGGGCGCGATACGTGTCGACCGCGCTAGCAAATTCAGGAAATCGACCGAAGGATTATGCACTCGACTAGAGTTGTCTCGAGAGTCGAGTACAACAGAGGAAAAGAGAAGATTCTGGGAGCGAGGAAAGAATGATTGTGAGACGAGAGAGCATGCTTTGAGCGCCTCTCGGTCGTCGGAAAGTTCGTCAATGACGGCCTCGATGAGTTCTTGTGGAAGCGCATTCATAGTGCAGAGCATAAGTTATCTAGAAAGGTAAATCTGCTGCGTCGGTAAACTGGTAATGGGAGTAAGATCATTCGCCACGTACAATGTCAGGTCCGAATATCTCTAGAATCTAGAGGAAATGGGCATCAATCTCCTTGTCATTCCTTCTACTTAAGCAAACAAGATTTGGGGATGCGACCCGGTGTCGATAGCGATAAGTCTGGGGTGAGTACTGGAACCCGGATGACGGGGTGGTGGAAGGGGTGCACGTCGGCTATTGCCGATTACCGGTTTCCGGATCCGGACTATACCTTTTTCAATTCTACGCGCAACCACCTGTTCGAATTTTGCTGCTACGCAAAAGTCGGCAATCGTGTATTTGGTCAAATGGCGTATAAGTTTAGGCACGTGTATCCGTCCAAGCCGATATTTTACTTGACAACGCAAGGTCTGCTGCAGACTGTCATTCTGAACTCAACCATTGGCCGCAGCAATGCCATGCTCCAGACAAATTTTGAAAAATAGCGGCGTCGACGACAGCTTCTTCAGATTCAGCCTTGTTTGAACCAATCACTTGATGAGTGTTACTGGAGATAAAAATGTCTGATAGAAATCAACGCCGGTCCTCGAAAGAAAAGATGAGGCGGAGTTAAAAAAAACGTACCCGAAATTGAAGATTCAAAGTACATCGTATGGACACGTCAATCGGGAGGACTGAAATGAGGGGATGCACCTGACTCGATGCCAGACTAACGGACGATCAATTAAAGCGCAAAGGATAGTTTCGATGCACTCCACCCGAAGGACCGGTCTTCCCAGCAGTTTTGACCATCTGCGCGGTGCCCGGATAGCTGACGAGCTTGTAGGACACGGGTGTGGGTATAAATCACAGAATGCCATTTCCTCGGCATAAAGGGTTGCGATGATAGCATCTTCTGGTCACAGAGAAGGACGTGAATGGTCCGTCGGACCCCCGATAGCTCCACGAGGAGGGATATGTGCAATGAAGTTACTAGTAGCAGAGGATACGAGACAATTGAACCGCACGTGTAGATGCTAATGTAAACATGCTTGACCCCTTGGGCTTCAACGCCAGTGACGTTCAGCTGCTAGAAAGCTTACGCTGCGTCCAGGCTAGCTTGGGAGCCCGTTCATCCTCGGACTCGGAGAGCAGAAGTTAAACGCCACATGTATCATGTGGTCTATAAAAATCGAGGACGTTCGGCTCGAGCAAGAAAGGTAAGGAGTGCATTGATATAACCTTTTCACCCTCTATCTTCGTTGGCAAACTTATTGAAAGATGACCAGAGTTCTTTGAGCTTCTGGGAGGGGCAACTGCGCGCCCAGAATCAAAAATCTGGTCGTGAGCAGATTACATCTACAAGAGGCCATAACCATGAATATAATGAGTTTCTCTCCTGTTATGAGTACCGGGTGCATACCGCTTGAACACTTCACTCCTCAGGTACGTTCTCTGCCGGGATCGACTGAACAGAAGAAACACGGTTGGGTATCATGGTCCAAATCACTCGCATCAGGGAAAAGACTGCGAGATCGGAATATGTCACAATATTCAAAATGCATTATGATATACATAATCCCTTGGGATCTATCACAACTGAAACTCGCACATTAATATACCATTGTGATGCTATTGTAATACTATCCCGATGCCCTTCTCATATGCTCACAAGTCCACCACATTTTACTGACAACGAAAACACATTTGATCACAATCACACAAATCACGGCAAGTAGAAATGATAAAAATATAGTATATTGCGTTCGGCAAATACATAAAACCAGCTACGTATACTAGACACTGTAATGAATCCCTCCACTCTTGGTTGTACTACTGGAAAACAACGGCCCTTATCGCTCCATGGTACCCTTGGCTAAGAGGGGATACAAGTAAGCATTTGAATGGGGCCGAGACATGCAAGAACTTACACAATGACGCAACCGCAGTGAGGACCAGGCCAACCGGTAGTGTAGGTGCATCTTTCAAGGCAATCAGTCTAAGGCGGAGTCAACAAAAAGGGACATACACACCAAAACACATTTACAAAATTGACTTCGACTTTAAACTGACTGACCTGACACTGACCTAGGACGGTATGAACATAATACAGAGATGGAGGTGGATGCACTTACCAGTGACCACAGACCGTGAGCGTGGAATCTACTATCCACATCAGCGACCGATACCAGTGTGACAGACAACAGCAGGTACTTGATACCTCTATCGAACTGACAGCGCATCTGTAAGTCCCACTGCTCGAGGAGCTCACATACCTTGGACACAGAGATGCCCCCTCGTGAAGCCAAGAGTCGCGAGACTTCAGCGCGATGTGAGAGTAAAAGGACAAGTCCAACCACTTCCTTATTGGGACTTATCAACAATCTTCGGGCGGAGTTTGAATCATTTTTACTCCACTGACGACGTCGTCTTCCCCTTTGCGAAGTTCCAGGCGACGACTGCTTGACATGAAGTGGGATACTCATTTTTTAATGATTTGGTACTTAGTAAAAGGCTTTATAGAGCGTGAGGAAGCTACATTGATCTTTCTCATATCTTGTAGCACTCTCATAGTTTGATTATAGGTATGTTGGGACCAAGTCAGGATGTGTGAAATGAGCTGTAATGAATTATCAACAGTACAAGGTCATCAGGAGTGGATTCCAAGCAATTTCCTATATTATGATGGAATTGTAATCACCCGAAATAATGGCCGCTCGTTAGGATCGGCAAAATCCGCCGTGACCAATTACAATTTTTTGGTCTTTTTCCTGATGCGAGCAGGCCTGACTCAGAGTAGCAAGAGTCTTTAGTAAGTTATTGATATGTGGAAACCCCATGCCGCATAAGAAGTTCCTTCGCGTTCAATGGTAATACAAGACTCCGGGGAACCTGTGGACGGCCTGAGAGAAAAGGTGGGAAAATATGCGACTATCCGGGCCGGTTCGAACAAGCACGTGAACGTTCTTCCCTGGCGGGAAATAAACTTTTGACGTCGAATCGGAACAGCTACTAGTAAATACATGGCGCCTACCGCAAGGTCCGCAATGAAGAAGAGGATGCGACATACTCCATAGTAAACATTGCCTATGGCGTCGAGCAACTCAAACTTGATACTACAGTAGGTGCACTAAAGTCTAGCACACCTCGGAGCAATCAGGCTGACACAGCTATCTATTTGACAGTCAGAATGGACATGTTCTGCCATTTCACAAGTAAAATTGGACTTGTGACTCATCGCTCTCCCTCAGGCATCGAGCGCTACGGTCTGCCTATTCTCTACGGGGGTCATTTCCGGTGTGGAGCGATTGCGAGTAACATAAAGGTATGTCTGTATAATTAAGGCAGTCCGTCGGAAATTAATACAGGCAGTCAGACACGCAATTCAGCCTATACTGTTTAACCTCCGTGGCT